CTGCAAGATGCGTTTCTTTGCCTTCTTGAGCATAAAAACACAGCAGCAAAGCAAATGTATATGAAATGACCAAAACAACACGTTCCACACAGTTCCCCCCCCCCGCCTCCCAGGAGGAAGAGGAGAAGATAAAGAGGTGAGTCATGTTGTTTACTGCCATACAGGAAAATGGTTAATGGTTGGAAACGTCACTGATGAGCGAGATCAGAAAACCTGAACAGACTAGAAATGAACTTGCTTCTTTTCTCATTATGTCCTGCACATTCCTTTTTGTGATAGATTATAAGCAAAGCGTGCATCGGCAAGTATTTTAATTGGATGATTTGTCATCATATTTAAAGATGCTATCTATGTTTGCTTCAGGTGTTTTAAGAAAAAAAAAAAAAGATAAATACAAATACTTTATTTTAAAAACATGCCCAGTCAGTCCCTGTCTCCCAAGATTTATGAACAGCGACTGAGCTAATAAATATCTGCATTGCACTGTGGTAAAATTCTGCACAGTGTTTGCTCCAGATTTGACCATGTTTTTGTAGGACCAGGTCGTGTTCCATTATTTTCTGGGTAGTTTAAATCTCTGGATCTATTTTCTTCCATTTCTGGCTAAACATAGGCAAAAATGTTTATTTAGAATTATGTGTTATGCTCAGTTCTACTTGCTTGTTCTCTCCTTGACTATTTTACAGAAAGAACACAAACCAGAGCAGTCACCCCCTCCCCACACGTGCTCTTTATGAGCTGCTTTAATTCAAGAAAGAAAAAAAAATACATTTATCTCCTTTTAGTTGAGTCCTGCAACAAGAGTTTCAGGTCTGTGGCTGTGAGGAAGAGAAGATCAGTAGAAGCTGCAGTATTTTGGGCAGTTTTCATCTCTCACTGTTCCTTTTCTCCTGCAGCACAGGAGGTGTGGAGGTCAGGAACAGCTTCCAGAGCCACACAGGACGTTTGTCTGCAGTGCTGGAGCCCCAGGGGCCATGCTGGGTGTTGACAGTGTCATCAGCACCGTTCAGGGATGAGCTGGTGTTTTGTTGGTGAATGTGGCATTTCTCCTGACGGTTCGGTACCAGCGGTGGTGTGAGATGCCTGAAGGGTGCCTCTGCTGATGCCCTCTGAAGATGCAAAACAGCAACTTGATCTCCAAAGGTCAGTAGAGCTCAGTGAATCATTTTAGGGAGGTGAAGCCATGTTGTTGTTCAAGTCCAGAAGGTACAATAGATGGATCGTGTTCAATGTCATCTTCATTTAGGCACAGCACCCAGTGCTGCTGTCATCGCTACCAAGGTTAAACAGCCACTGTTGGGGAGCTGCAAAGGGGTTTGTTTTGTTTAGAAGCAACAACTCTGGGCCAGTTGTGGATTTGGTGTTGGCTTTGGCCTTGATTCTTGCGGCTGGTGGATACCTGGGTCAGGTTTCTGTTCCGTGGTGCTGGGCTCATCGCTGATGCAAATAATCCTTGGTATTCCTAAAGAACCCCAGGGGGCTCACGTGTCCTGCCTTTGCTGTGTCTATTGGAAGGGTATGATTTGTGACACACACATATATATAAATATATATAAAAAAGTGTGTGTGTGTATACACACACACACAAAAAGTATACGTACGTATACTTGCACATACCAGTAGCAGGCTCTGTAGCCAAAGCTTTTTGAGAAGTTACCAGAACTGTTTGAACTATTAAATTCAGAGCTTTTTAAAAAAAAAAAAGAAAAAAGTGAGATATACGAAGCAAAAGCTTTGACACCTTTTCAGATGATGGCTGAGGAAAATGCCGGGAGGTTAAAGGCCTTTACTAATGGGTTGCTGTGGGATCGTAAATGAAACAGCGTGCAGTAGATGGCTGCCTACAAGGAGAAATCCCCAAACAACTGGGAAATTTAGCAAGAGCCCTTCAGTGAGGTAACCTCACCGAAGAAGAAGCTTTAGGCTGGAGAGCTCAAGGGCATCAGCCAGTTTTTGCTCTGGAAGAGCCGAGCCCTGCCCCAGTGGGCCCGTGCCCAGTGCTGGCTCCCTCCTGCTCAGAAGAGAGTTTGGGAACGATTCCCCTTGAATTTCTGCCTCCTCTCTCTCCCTCGGTCTGCTGACCCAGCAGGAATTGTTGATTAGACAGGCAGCAGCCACCCCTGTGCCAGAAGGGTAGGAAAAAGATGCTGAAAAGCTGGACGTTTGTCTTTTTGCAGTGAGAAACGTGGCTAAAGAGCCTGTGGTGAGGGAGAGCAGGGCCTGGCATGGGGCCGGGAGACACGGTGGTGTGGGAGGAGGGTGCATGGAGTGAACACCTACCATTGTGTGCAGAGCTGTTGTTAAAATGCCTTATTTAAACTGAAGACAAATAGTTTCTAGGGGCTGGTGCTGCAAAAAACAGGTTTATGAAGTTACCGCTGCTTGTTCTCCAACGGTGAAGGTTCGGGAGCTTTTTTGTTTGTTTGTCGTGTGGTTGGGCCCCTCTTGCTGAGGACGTGCACACCTCTGGCTGTTAGAAACGTGGACAGGCATTTTCACTAATTTTGGATCATTATAGATTTTATCATTATAGGTTCCCCTCCACAGCTTTTACTTAGCCAAGTGTCACTGCAGAGTGGATAGTGTAATAAATCAGTCCCCAGCATGCAAATACAGTTATTTCTGCTGCTTAAATCAAAAAAAGATGGTTTTGCAGAGTGTGTTATGACTGTTCTTTTTTATCAAAGGGCATTAACTTTGCATTTCATACCAAGAATTCCAAAGCCCCTGACTCTTATCCCAGAACAGGTTTAAATGCAAGATAATCTGCAAAGGATGGTTAGCATAAATTATACTCTTCAAAGTTAAATGCTATAAAAAAGGAAAAGCTAATCCTTGAAACCTAATTTTTATTCTGGGTATTAAGTCAAGAAGGGCTCTTCTGAAGAGATTTTAGTCATGTTTTTTTCCTAGGTTATCAGCTAGTATGTATGTTTTTAATAACAACGTGGTGTCTGTAATAAACGCTGTTTGTAATCAACCAGCATCCACTAATCAACCAGCATCCACTTTGCTTCCGCGTCCATTTTAATCCAGGATTTAACTGAGGAGAGGCCTCCTGTGTTTGCTTTCAGCCATCTTGTTATTTGTTCAGCCGACAGGCTGCCTCAGAAGAATTTTCATCTTTACCACGATTGCACAAGGACAGGAAATGTCGAAGGCTTGAAACTGTGGCAACTCAAGTAAGTTCAGGTATTTCATAATCCCTGAGCCTCAAAATGTTCACTTCTATCACGGCAAAGCCAGGACTGTCAGCCTTCCAAGCACGTAACTGCTTTCAGCCCTGGGATGCTGCAAGACAGCAGGAACTTGTAAAACCTTGTGGTTAAAACCCTTCTATAACACTCGCTCCTCACAAAGAAAGTCTCTGAGCTTTTTTTTTTTAATTTTTAATGTACAAATTTTATGATTCTCTCCCAGATTTACATAATGAACTGGCAACAAGTAATAAGGATTATCATCCTTAGATGTAAAATGATTAAAACAGTAATTCCGGTAGCATGCAGTTTTTAAGCATAAAGGGCTTTACAAAATTGAGTATTCATTACTTGTCATTGCCTCTCTTTTGCCTCACATTTGTGGGAATTTGTTTTCTCCTGTTGTATGAAGATTCAGTTTCTACTATAATCTGCAAAACTCACCTAACAGGCTGGTTGCTGTGCGGTAGCATGCAGTTTTTAAGCATAAAGGGCTTTACAAAATTGAGTATTCATTACTTGTCATTGCCTCTCTTTTGCCTCACATTTGTGGGAATTTGTTTTCTCCTGTTGTATGAAGATCCAGTTTCTACTATAATTTGCAAAACTAACCTAACACGCTGGTTGCTGTGAGGGCTGGCGATGGCCTCGGTCCCCACCAGTAGCATGCAAGAGTTTTTAAGCATAAAGGGCTTTACAAAATTGAGTATTCATTACTTGTCATTGCCTCTCTTTTGCCTCACATTTGTGGGAATTTGTTTTCTCCTGTTGTATGAAGATTCAGTTTCTACTATAATCTGCAAAACTCACCTAACAGGCTGGTTGCTGTGCAGTGTGGTGAGGGCTGGCGATGGCCTCGGTCCCCACCTGCTCAGTGTCCCTGGCAGCTCTTCCTCTTTCCATGGGGCTGTGGTGGGGACTCTCAAACGCGATGTTTCTTGCATCGTTGCCTGAAATTGCAGTAGCTCCAGCCCCATGATCCACTCAGCTGTTCCTGGGCTTGTTTTGCCAGTTGTGTTTCTATAGCACAGAGAGGGTTGTTGCAGTGACCACTTTCACCATACTGCACAGGCCCTACAAAATGCTTTAAAGCAAGGTTTTTTGATGACTTTTGCTTCACCTACAAACTTGGCTACTTGCACGCAGTAGCTGTGAATTTTTCTTCTTCAAATAGCTTAGCAGAGATTTTTACTCTGGGCCTCTGGTCCCTGAAACGTACTGCCCTGGCAGAAGAAGGGCTATGGATGAACAGGTCCAGGTGAGTAAGAGCCAGCCCTGCTACAAATCGACTGTCTGATGGGGCTGAAGTGCAAGTCACTTATTAGCGACCTCTGACACAGGAGGCAAATATTATCTTCATCTTACAGATGGTGGAATCAAGACACAGATCTGGTTTCACAACTGTAGCTAAAATTCAGGTCACGAGTTATTTTGCATTAAATACAGCTCAATTACTTTTTTGAATTAGAAATCATCCAGAACAGCATTGCACCTAAAAACTTGAAAAATTGTTTGATTTATTTGTTATATTTACACGTTTGTCTTTTAAGCTGAAATTTGAACTTTTTGGAATGGGTTTTTTTTGTGTGTGTATAATCAACTCTAGTTTCAGCCCTTCACACCTTTTTGCTATTTAACAAGTACTTTAAAAAGTAATTTTTTTCCCTCAGCCCGTTAAGTTTATCAGCGTTACAAAGTGTCTGGAAAAGCATTCAGCTCAGTAACTGGTGACTTCATATCTCTTTCAAATATTTTTTAACCAAGTCCTGTAATAAATAAAGACTAATACCAACATGACAAAGCTGTTTTTTTCAAATTGTTCATTTGCCAGTTTTAACAAGATAAAGAAATGAATACTTAATGTGGACATTGTTGGTTGGTTTTGTGAAAAGAGAGAGAAACCAAACCCCCAAAACAAACAGACAAAAAAGAAGGACACAAAGGAACACACATGGAATGATGAAAAGGAACAATGATATTGCACAACTTCAAGTCTCTCTGGTCTCTCTTCCCAGATTTTGATCCATGTAATTAGGTTATGTATGAATTCAGCAAAAAATTGCATCCAGATAAATGTGTAGCAATTTGAGTGAATCTCTAAAACTGTTGATTTCAATTCCTTCTGACTGCTACTTGGAGTTCTTCTCTAAGAGGGCAGGTTGCTGTTGGCTGCAGGAATAATAAATAAATCAACATACTGATTCTACATTTTGCTGACCAACCCTTCAAAAATTATCCATAATATGCACAATTCTTCCGTGTTGTAAATACACTAAGTCTTCAAAGTACTCGATACAACAAGTTGTGTTTAAAGTACTCAAACTATATACGAAAAACAACCAAGAACAGTCCCTGATTTGTTGTGGTTAACTTGAGATTGCATCTCATTTTGCAACACCAGGACTTCTCAGTGTATCAGCGCTGCGTTGAATGTATAAAAGTCACAGTAGGGTACATTAAAGAGGGGAATGAAAAAAAAAAACAACCCCAAACAAAACCATGCAAAGTGGATAAAAGGTCTTTACAGCTATAATCTCTGCTAGACCATCTCTTAACAAGCACATACTGTTGCTACAGGAATTAGCTAATTGTGTCTTTCTGGCTGTAGCAGTTCTGTTTCTCCCCCCTCAACTGCTACTCTGACAGTCTGTGTTTAGATAAATTTTGCATTTCTGTGCAGAACAAAATATATTTTTCTCATATCTGATTTCCTATCTGCTCGGTGGACTGACATGTCAACCAGCAGGGCTTAACAGATAGATTTAATACAGGAGACTGAGATACAGTATGTTTATTCTTAACTTCTGATAACCTAAGAACTACAAGAACGAGAGATGCAGTATCCATTTACTATGATCAGAGACAACCATTTTTAGGGAGAAAAAATTAGAATTAAGTGATCAATGCTAACACTACATTAGTTCCAAATAATTATATATTTTTTTTCAGTCATGGTAGCTTAACTATTTATTGTCCATCTGGCCCACATTTAACCTGGTGAAGTTAAAGGTGACAAAGTTTAAGGACTGTTGTTTCATCAAAACCGAAGCAAGTTTTAAAAAAAAACCCATGAAACCATAATTTCACTGTAGGACTTGTTTCATATCTTCATATTCCACATCATTTGTAGAAAAGGGATAATGCATCTCAGTTTGCTTACAAGCTAGGAGATCACTTTGAAATCTGCATATTCCTAACTGCAAACAAAATATAGCACTTTTAACAGGTTATAAATAAACTGGTTTTCAAGCATAGAGCCAGCCCAACAATAACAATACACTATTAAAAAGACCTAAGGCAATGAATTCCATCTCCAATGGAAAAAAAAAAAAGAAAAAAAAAGAAAAAGAACTGTGCAAACAAGCTTAAAACTATTTCTTTGTGCCAGTGTTATAAAATGTAGATTTCAATAAAGCCTTGACCCAAATGCCAGGACTTGTGAAAAGAATCAGAACAAAACTGGTTACTTTATTTAGGAAAAAAATACTCTTATCTTGCTGCTAATAAAATCGGATACACGCAGTTTAAACATTTACAGTTGCTGTAACACTTTACACAATTCCTATATATGGGTGTAAGAACAAACATTAAAAGACAATGGTGGGTCAAGGCTTTACATTAAAAATAACAACCTACTTTTTCTATAGTCTCTAAAATACTATGGTTTTTCCAATATTTGCAGCCATTCAGGAATAATTTTTTTATTTATTTATTAGGAAATGTATACTTTGTGCACGATCTTAATTCCTAATTCCTGGCTCTTTGGGCTGAATGACAAAAGGATCAAACCCATTGAAGTGGATGGTCTCCTGGAAGGGCGAGTGGAGAAACCCTGGCTCAGTTAGTCTCGTATGAGGAAAGCAGCGCTGCATCCACTGGCTCCATGCAGGATGGACAGGTAAAGGATCTCATCAACCAGTCATCTATACAGTCCAGGTGGTAAATGTGCATGCAGGGCAGAAATCGGATAGGGTCCCCATAAACAAAGTCCATCATACAAATGACGCATCTGCAGGGGGGTGAAAAAGAAAAAGACAACAATATTTAAGCTGCTGGTACCAGGCTGGAAATGAAAAGTGGTGTAATGTCTACTCCTGGATGCGTTTGAGTCAAACGAAGTTTTAGTGCTTGTAGATTCTCAGTGCTGGCTCCACCAAGCTCTAGATTTTTTTGGGGTGTTTCCTCTGTGGTTGATGTGCCCATGGTTACGCCGTTAGCGAGGGCAGGAAGCCGCCTGCGGGCACAGTGGGGGCAGCTCAGCAGAGAGCATAAAATTAGAAATGGTAAAAGGGAGCCATAAAGGCGAGGAAGTAACATGAAATTATTTCCCCACAAAGAGAGGATAAAGAGGAAAAAAACCTGTAAAAGCATGAATTACATGGGTCCAAAAAGTAAGTTTCACCTGTAACAGGAAAACAAGAAAGAAAGAGTCTTCTGCATGGCCTTTTGTTTCAGGCTACATTAAATTACAGTCCCTGAAAATAAGGCAGAATCGGGAGGACAAGCTCAGGTTTCCCAGGGCAGTATTATAAATCAACACAACAGGCAGGTTACTTCAGGCAGGTTTCTGGAACTTACTCTCTGATCTTCTTCTCGGAGCCGTCTCTCCCCGGGTCATAGACTCCTTTGGGTAGGTGCTGGATAAGGCCTATCCGCTGCGCTATTCTGATTTGTTCCTCTTCTGTCAGCTGCGTTGCCAGCCGAGTCTGGCTGGGCGTCGGGTGATACACAGGAACAGGGACCTGCTCCTAAAATTAAAATATTTCAGTTAAAAAAACCCCACCGAGGCTCTCCTAGCATTTCATAGCACCGTACAGGCAGCATATTTAACTTTTCCTCTCTTAGTCCTGCAGATGTTTGTATGATCTCCCACTCCTACTTTGCAGTTTGGGGGCTATAATTATTTTGAGAATGGGGTAAAGAATTGAGGCCAGTATCTTGAGCAAGGAGCTGCTCGTGGTTGTTCTCTGCAAAAGCCTTTTTATCCCCAGGAATCATTTACACGTGAGATACACGTACAACAAACTCCACACGACAGCAGGCAAGTCAACTTCACAGGCACCTGGGGAACTCCTTAGAAATCAAACTGACCAACCTATTGGCTGAGGAAGAGCCCCCAGTATTTCTAACAGTAAGTAGATTATTTTTTTACATTTAGGAAGAATTATTTGCAAAAAGGTGACGACAGTGCCTAATCTTAAGGGTTTCAGTGGTTCTGTAATAACTAAAATTTAAGTGAACTGTTCTGGGCCACAGAAGCTCCAGTCTGGAACTGTAGATTTAACTCTTGTGTGTTTAAACAATGTCACCTGAGCAATAAAAAGAATAGCTCAAGTAAGTTTTACGTTTGTTCTCATGGATTAGTACAATTTTACAGGTTCTCCCAAGCTGGACTTCAACTGCTCTATGTTTACAAGTTAAAGTACATATTTCCCAAACAAAAAATAAGCAACGTGTAGGTTCTGCCACATTCTCAGAAGCTTCTTTTGAATATTGACAAACTTTAGATCAGGTGTTTTTCATTAACACTTATATTAGCATGGCGCTTATTTTACTTGCTTTTAAAGCACATTCTTGGACATAAACACCGATTTTGAACAGGAGATGCTACTAGGAGAGTATTGGCCAGTAGCTGTAAATCTGCTGTTTATAGGGAGACGATTCCTTACAATAGGTCTTTTTTGCTGGTACTTCTTAAACAGCAGGAAAAAAAAAAATTCAACTTATAGCTGTGTTCTGAAAATAAAGCTGGTGCATCAGAGACACAAGAGCATCGATTCCTCTGTTTGAAAAAATGCAAGAGTTGATGTTTCAGAGGACACTGCTGCAAGAACAAGCAGGCTGCAGGAGAGCAGGCAGCGCTGACGCAGCTGACATCACCTCCGACACGGGTCCTGCTGCCAGCTCCCCCCCGCTCCTCACTGAGGTGGGGGAGACCTGAGCTTCCACTGCCTGTGAGGGAGCAACCACCTTCTGCAGCCTCCATGTCCTTGCACCCCTGGGGGCATCTCCAGCAGCAGAACACGGCTGTGCCCTCCTCTCCTGTTCCCTCTGTGCCTTCTGACCTGCTCCAGCAACGGCCCAGGGCACCAACACCCAGCAAACTCCAGATACGGGGTTTAACGCGTGTAATACTGCGCTTGTAAAGCCTGATAAAATCCTAATCAGAAGCACAAGCCTGCCTGGCAGTTCTTCTTTGGAACACAATGCCTACCACTGCCAATTCAGCTGGTGGGTCAAATTCATGGTCTTCTCTTAGTTTAGCTACACTAGGGTCTCCCCCTCCAGTTTCCTGGCAGAGCTCAGTGGAATTACCAGAAGGTTCAAAAGACGAAACGCGAGTGGTTCTGTAAGTTTGATTGATTTCCTGACTGCTCTGAACTGTATTTCACAGAATCACAGATTTCTTCTAGATCAGCTGCCTTTAATGGCTTAAATTATCTAAAGTATTCTCTAATCGTTGTTTGGATAGGGAAAAGCACCAGCTGTAGCTAGGGCTGACCTGTCAGGTAGAGCAGTGTTCATGAAGTGGCTCGGCAACCTTTGGTGCCAGCAAAATAAACCACTTTCCCCCTCTCAAATGCTGCAGACCTTCTGCACCGAACTCATCAGCTCGAGGCAGAGCCCAGCCCTGGTTTTATGTTTCAAGAACTTAATGCCACAAACTATCAGTAACCGTTTTTACACACACCCCCTCCAAGGCTTTGCTATACTTCTTTGGACAGATTATTAAATCAATAGCGGAAGACATTACTGCTACCTCCTTTATTTGTCACAAAGGTGTACAGAACATTTAGCATTTGGAGAGAGATGCACCCCCCTTCCCGTCTTAGAAAAGAGGAGGAGCCAGATAACCGACCACACACACAGCCCAGGTTGGTGCCAATAAGGGCAGGAGGAGGAGTATTTACTACAGCTCCCCTCGGCAAAACCATGGCTGCAACTGATAATGCAGAAATAGAAGGAAAGGAGGAGGAAGGCATAGTAGGAAAAACAGTCCAAGAAACTCTCAAAACGACTAAAATTAGCAGTGACAACTGATAGTGAATGGCTACAGCAGCAGAACCACCAACTAATCATCTCAGCAGAAATTACACAGCAAAAGGAAACTAAAATTAAGTCAGAATCCGTTCTGAGTTCAAACTATCACATTAGGACAACTCTGAAATGAGAAACTGGTCACACTATCCAACCCTTGACTGTTTTGGTTAAGTTTTGGACAGTAAATTAACACAACTTTCAGGCCAAACAAGAACAAAAACCTCATTCTCTTGTTCTGGTCTTTTACAGGCACTTGCTACGAGCGACCACCCAGGGACTATTTACCTGAGGAACCCACTTCTGCCCCTCTCCTGTGGGTGTCATCTTGTAGGACCACAAAGATGATGAGGGGTCTGGAGCATCTCTCTTAAGAGGAAAGGCTGAGGGACTTGGGTCTTTTTAGTCTGGAGAAGAAAAGACTGAGGGGGGATCTGATCAATGCCTATAAATACTTAAAGGGTGGGTGTCAAGAGGATGGGGCCGGTCTTTTTTCAGTGGTGCCCAGGGATAGGATAAGAGGAAATGGGCACAAACTTGAACATAAGAAGTTCCACCTAAACATGAGGAAGAATTTCTCCACTTTGAGGGTGGCAGAGCACTGGAATGGGCTGCCCAGAGAAGTGGTGGAATCTCCGTCTCTGGAGACATTCAGATCCCACCGGGACACGTTCCTGTGCAACCTGCTCTAAGAGAACCTGCTTTGGCAGGGGGTTGGACTAGATGCTCTCCAGAGGTCCCTTCCAACCCCGTATCATTCTATGATTCCCTGTGGAGACCTGAAGGACTGAGGCCTCATGGACCCCTTCCCATACTAAACACAGAAATGCTTTCCTGACAACCAGCACTGTATGGAAACTCTCCTCCTTTTGGCATCCTGTCTCAGGTTCCCTCCCCGCGGAGCCACCGCCCTGTGCCACACGTCTGACATAACCAATTAAGGCAGGAATTTAGAGTTGCCAGCTGTGGGCTTCTACAGTTTCACATACTAGACAAGAATCTCTTGTCAGATGAGAAAAATCTGGGTGAAAATGGTGCTGTCTTTCACCATGACACCTTCATGCTTGTGAATATAAAACATTGGGGTTGGTGGAGCTGCCAAGCTGTTGTGAAAAATGACATAAACTGTACTAGTGTAAATAAACGGGGTGACCGCTCAATACCCGTGATCTGGAGCACTTCCTTACCACACTGGCTGGTGGCACTTTAATCTCTCCTCCCAATGACTATTAAAAACCTACCCAAACAAAGCAGGCAGTCCCCTGGATACAAACATACCAGCAAAATGGAAGAGCACAGTCACACACATTGTAGAGTCAGATCAGAGGGTACATGACCTTCTCAAACCTGTCCTCTTCCCACCAACAGATAAAAGGTGTGTTTATACCTGTACGAATCTAAAAATATTTTAAACTATTTATTCATGAGAATATGAGAGCCCAGATTTGTCCATCTCAGTTCACTGACATGACATTGACCCCATGACCACATCGACCTGGAGGGGTCCACAGAAGAGATGGAATAGACTTGGTGAAGTGTTCCCTCAACGAGACCCTGGCCACCACCCACCAGTGGAGCTGGGTTCCTGCAGCCCCCTATAGCCCCACACCCAGGCCAGCCCCACACGCAGCTGCCACATCCCCACATCAGCAGCTCCATCCTCTGTTTTCTCCACCACCAAATCTCCAAACCGTTTTTGGAAGCTAAGCTCATCCAACAGGAAGTCCAGCTGCCTGCAAGGACGGAGCACAGCCCTGTCTGTGCCGGTTTAATCGCCCCTTTGCCAATCTCACACGCGTTGTATCGGCTGCTTTTATCAGCCCACCTTAAGGCAGGGTCCCCCTCACTCCAACGTGGATGTTCAAGGGCAACAACAGGAGAATTCAAGGCTTAGGCAACCTAAATTTGGAGCTAGAGGCCCCCTCGCATGTATATATATATATAAAAGATTGCATTACCCAAGTCATTATTATTTTACTCCAAAGACAAGCATGAATTTATTGCTCTGGTGTCTCACTTTTCCTTTATCTACCATGGAAAATGTTTTTGCAGACATAATTACAAAATAGTGAACTTCTAGCCAAAGTCCACGTTATTTATCATTTGATAAAGACGACAGGCATTTCAAACTAAGATGAAATTTCATGTTAACCCTATTCCTCCATGCAAAAAAACTAAAAAAGGCCAAAACAAATAATCAAACCCACATATTAGCATCAGGCAGTGAAATAAAAATCACTTTCTGGCACTTAATTTGTTTTAATGAATTTTTTTCCATATGAATTTAGTGATGATGAAACATCTCAGATGGCCACAGTCCTGGAGATACACAACTTTTTTTCTTGGTCTCAAAGCAGGGGGTGTCAGCACAAGTTTCCCTGGTTTCTGTGCACAGAAATCCCCCCTTCCCAATGTTTATCCAGCCCTTAAATAACAGCACTAATTTAGACTCGAGGACTACTGCCGGGTTTGTGTCTCCATCTCACCCTGGCTCCTCCTCTCTGGGGGGGGGGGGGATA